AGTATGTTGCTACCATCTGTTTTAAAGAAAATGGCAGTGATGGCCTCTAAGAGAGAAGAGTGACAGATTAAGGGTCAGAAATAGGAGAGGAACTTACTGGTGCTGAATATATCCTCCTTTTTTTTTTTTAGATTGTATTCTACCATGGGTGTTTAATCACTTTTCCAAAAATATTAAGAAACATGTCATTTTGGATAGTTTTGCAAGTTTATGTATTTGAGCCCAAAAGGAAATRAAGATCTCTATAATTGTTGCATTGAAATGACAAACATTCAATAACCATTGAATGGGCAGTCCTATACACTTGACATTGCCCTACACAATCTCTTGTTTGGATTCTCATGGATATGTGTGCATTCTCATGAAAATGTGTGCATTCATGGGAAGGGTACCTAGGCTTTCTTTTGCAAGAGAGAAAACAAGGGAGAAGACAGAGCAGTGTGGATCCTCAGTAGAGTAAGAYCTTCATAATACAAACAAGCCCTCTGGGCCTTTTCTCTGCCAGGAAAAAGACCTCTATGCCCCTGATATTCATGAATCTAATTGTAAGATYGAAATGGGGACTTCCAATTTAAAAAAATAACAAGAATAACCCTCTGCCAATAGACTCTTACCCAACCTTTACTGGCTGATTTGCTAAGTGTTTTTCTGACTCCATCAAACAAATGTACACTATTTTAAGAATGTCAACTATTTAAATACCCAGATTTACAGAAAACAAATTTAAAGCAGTGTCTACTTGCTTTACTTAAGGATTTCTTCAAATATCAAACTAATAAACACATTTAAAATATGATTCAGTATAAAAATTATATACAAATTTCAGGAATACCATCATTGAACACTCAGGTACTCAGTAATTACTTGTTGGTTGGATGAACATACCTATTGAAAATCAGTAGAGTGAAATGAATAAGAGCGTGGGTTGGGGTCCTGATATTCCCGTGTTTGGATTCAATCTCTGCCATTCATTAGCTGAATATGACCTTCAACAAGTGAATTAACCTCTCAAGGCCTCAGTATTTCTTATAGATATAAAATGGATGAGTAATGCCTGCTTCATAGCTATTTGTATTAAAGGAAATATGCATGCAAACATAGGTAGATTTATATCAATATATTTTATCATAATAATATTTTATCAAGTATTATATTGTGAATTTTACCCATTCACTTAATTTCTGCCTGAGTGCAAGCAAATGAATAGCATGAACCAAACATGTATGTTGTTATATTTTTACAGACATAATATAGGTATATATATATAAGTATAATTACTTAATTTACACATACATGGCACATAGTAAATGCTTGGTAATAGTGGTTATTATTGTGAAAAGCAACATATAGCACTCTGRCAGTCTGACTATGTTCATATCCACAGAGAAAGATTTTGTGCATAACCGTCTAAGACATTTTATTGCATTGGTAGAGGTATAGGTTAAAATTCTTCATTGACTGAAATGTTTATGGCTAAAATTAATAATTCACAGGTGTATGAGCTAATTGTAGCTGAGATCTGGCTTGTAACAGTTGCTAACCTAGATTTCATGTGTGGTGATGATAAGTCATACTGCAAAGTAAATAGTATGACTTACCCTTGCTCCAAGTTTATTATTGTATAACATCATCTGCTTCCTACCTTCTTAACTAAAAATATTCAATGTACATACTTTGTTTCAATCCCCAGACCAGAGTAGATCAGGTGTTTAGAGCTGGAAAGGTTAAAAAAAAAAAAGTACAGACAGTTTCAAATTTAGAGACTAAATGAAAGGGCTCCATCAGATGACCAAAGTATATTTTGGGGTTTGGGGCAGGGGTTTCCTTTCTATTTTTTTTTCTTTTCAATTTTCTGGCTCCCCCTACCCCTTTCCTTCTAGGACTACAAGTCTGTTTATAGTAAAGTTGGGAAATCTCACAAAGGGCCTTATAAACATGTGTTATTAGATTTTAAATCTGATTTGAAAGTGCCTCTCTCCTACTCCCTCTGAGTAAAGTGACCTTTTTAAATGGAGGGAAGTGGCTTTAGATGACAGTCATGATAAATGCGGTCATGTTCACTCAATAAAATAAGGCCCAGTGCATTTGAGGATAAATCAGTGAAATGTACAGCCCCACCTGTCTGTCTCCATCATTCATTTCCACTGTCACTTTCACAGTGGCTGATGGATCACAGTTGCTGTAAAATTAGACAGCCTTTAATCTCATTTCATCCTGATTAGCTTCTCTTTCCCCTTTCCCTCTAACTCACTGACTGACACGCTAAAAACTCACGCTGGGCTGTATAGGAACGTGGAGTACAAACCTCCTCCTTGTGAAGGCAAAGCAGGTGTCCACCTCTAGAGAAATCTGGAAAGGAGCCGGTATGCATTTGGTGTTATTTAAAGCAGAATCAATAAGTTCAGTACCCAGTGCCTCTTTAAACAGATTGTTTGCTCTTGCTTACTGCCCTATTTGGCTTTCTGTTTAATCAGAAGTCAAAGAAATTAGGTCTTTTGCAAAATTCAAACATTGATTGAATATAGATTTTTTCCCTCCCTAATAAATTTGGGAGGATTTTACATTGAAAATAATTTCAAAGAGTCCTTTGTGTATATGTATAGCCTTTCACTTCATGATAATAATTCAGAAAAGGCAATTCAAGAATGAGAATATTGAAAATGTTTAATCAAAAAATAAAGTATACAAGCTTTTAAAACAAGAGTAAATGTATGTAGAATAAATGAAAATACCTTCAAGTGGTCTTTATAGTATGACTTCAAAAACCTTCTTTCCTCTTATTTTGAAGAGTTGAGAAGTTAGCTTAATACAATAGTTTCATTTGTTTGCATAAAACATAACAATAGAGGTAATGAAATGAAAAAGAGGCTTAAAAATAAATCATGTATTATTTCCTTCACTTAATTTCTRCTTGCCTGAATGGGAGCAAATAAATGACAAGAATGAAACATAATTGTTGTTATAATTTCAGAGACTGTACTATATTACAAAGCTGGACTTGTAGTTAAGAAGGAGGAAATACAATTTTTTCCTTATTTTTAAGATTTGTGCATTGAACTTAGCAAAAGTTTAAAATAAACATATGAAGTGTGATGGTCATAGAATAAGTAGGTTTTGGTTGATGGCCTCTATTCCTGCACTGTCAAATATGACAATGCTATGTAAGTTCACACTGGCCAGGGGACATTTAGTACAAGCCACTTGCAATATAACACAGAACAGCCCACTTTTGGTATGTGTATTTTGTACCAGAATCATAATTCAAATATCAGTGAGTTAACTTTTAAAAAAAAACTAGAACACACCCCACCTTAGTTACACAATAAATCCAGAAAAAACTCTGCCCCTATGAATTCTGAATGGTGAAACCAACAGGATCCACATAAGTTAAAAGCATTTTCCAAAGAGACAAACTGAGGATTGAGAGGCTCAGGACATTCCTCTGAGGACTCTAAGTGCAGTGACTCTAATTCATGGACCACTCAAACCACCATATACCCAATATCTACACCATCTTCTCCCCAATGGGGCGTTCAAACACCAACACCTTCTCCCCCATGAAAATAACTTCACAAAACAATGAATATTTGAAGTTAAAAAATGCATTAATGAATTAATCAAAACTCCTCCAATCCTTTGGCAAGAACCTTAAGTGATCCGATTTACTCTCCGAGTTACAGTTCTCAAAGCTATACCAATTCCTCCTTTTTTTTTTTATTTACATACCTTATCCAGTATAAGCAATTTCTGAGGAAAATAAAAGATAATAAAAACAAAATGAAATGAGAGATATATATCACCCAAAATAAGTCAGGTGTGAGATAGGTTCCATCTCTTTCTGTCTYCCCCCCCCCTCCCTTTCTGCATTGGCAAAAGAGCACAGAATAAGAGTTGGCTGGGACTCATATTGATTTCCCACTGCACTGATTTCTTAAGTGCTCTGTTGATCCGTGTCAAGCAATAAGTTCCCTGCCTGAACATGCACATCACCTCCCCATTTGTCCTCACCAGATTTAAGGTGCCCATATGATGAGCTGAACAAGGACATCATTTTTCCTACTGGTGTCACTGGGCCCCAACCACTGCAAGTGATATGAWAACTAAGGCTATATAGGTTTACATTTACCCTATGATATTAGGCTAGCAGAGAGCAAAACTGCACGGCACAAAAGGTGACAGGGGCAAACTCTTCTGTATGTTGTGACTTCCCAAAGGCGATGCAAATGAGAGCAAACACGGAAAAACCTGCTTTCGTGGGTTTCTGATTAATGCCCCCTCCTCTTACCCACTGCAGTAGGGCAGGGAGAGGTGAGGAGAAGGTATATTTGTGATGTTCCTGACAGTTTTCGTCTTTGTTACAGAAGAGCTCCTATGCAGATAGATAGAAAATGTGTGATTGTGCTGCTAATGACATTGTACAGGAAATTAAGCGTATACATTTGGAGGGGGCATTAAATCAGCAGGACCTTAATTTAAAAACTGAAAACTGTATGGAAATTCAGCTTGCTCATTGCTGTGGAATAGAGAGCTACCAAGCACCCCGAGTCTGTTTATGGAAAGATTGCCAGCAAGCCAACTTTGGGCAAAGCAACTTAGTGACTCCAAGTATATTCAGCATTACTTCTTCCAAGAAGTAATTGCCAGTCCTGACCATTTGGGAGTGTCAGTCATTGTTTGAGAATGTCATCCCCAGCATCAGGCAGGTGAGGAGGACTTAAGAATCCAAAACAGCATGACAGGTTGTTCTTGACTGATTTGTAGAATAACATTATGTAAAATTAATCAAAATGGGTTGGGTTTGAAACTGCTGGGAACACATCACTAAGCCAGTGTTTGGGGATGGCTGGATTGCTGGGTAGCCGTTCTGCTACTTATGCTGTTTCCTTCCTTCTGACTGAGTCGCACGTTTTATGCACCTCGGGTAAGTAAATAACTGGTGAGCCAAGGTATGAGGTCCTAAGATGGAAAAAATTATACAATCTCTTTTCTCTTAATTCCAGTTATGCCATACAACAGTGCCCATCACTGCGTTGTGGAGGTAGAAAACTTCTTGTTCGTGTTGGGTGGAGAGGACCAATGGAATCCGAATGGTAATTATTGAATAACTTTAATTGTACCTACTTGTGTTAATCAGCATCGTGTTACTAAAACAAAATGCCTGAAGCAACTAACTTTAAAGAGCAAAGGATTATTTAGCTCACAGTTGTGAAGTCCAAAGACATTGTCTGAATCTGGTGAGGGCAGTAGATGGGACACATCTTGACAGGAGTGCATGTAAGAGCCAATCATGATTGTAGGCAAAGAGAGAGAAGACAGGCAGGGTTTCCATAATCCCTTTCGGAGACATGTCCCCCAGTGAACCAAGGATCTCCCCAAAGGCCCTACATTCTAAAGGTTCCTTTACCTCCCAATACCACTATCCTGGGGACTAAGACTTCATCATATGGACCTTTGAGGGACACATAATTCAAACCCTATCAATGCTCAACAAGTATGTTTTCACTGAAGGCATTAGTAGGGATCCATTTTGTAATTGGTGTGGCAAATGTATTTCCATGCAACAGGCACAAATAAAGTAGTCAGGAAATTTGGCTGACAATGGGAGGGAAGGCCAGTCATCAACCTCACTGAGGGCTTATGTAGTGAAAAACTCACTCTTTGCCTGGGAATTTGGCTTCACAGTGATCCCCAGCCCCTCTCCTTATCCARTGCCACAAGACCAAGTACAACTAACTCCCCAGAGAACAGTAACAAGCTGTAGCTGCTAAAAATCCTCACCGCCTTCTCCTCCACTTTCCTCCCATTTTATTGAGATGACAATGCAGCATTATCTACAGTTGCATCCATTTAGCTGATGTTATTTTGCAGCAGGTACAACTGAAGATCCATTCTGCTGGCTGTTCCCTTTGCAAGTCTTCTTCCATAGGTTATCCCCACCATCCTCCCTTGGATGTGATTACTTCATAAATGTACCACAAAGAGAAACTAAACCTTTTGACACACTTCCCAAGCCAAACACAAGGAGAACACTGTGCCTTGCAGAATATGCAAAATTATCAAGGTATTTTTGGAAAGCTTGCACATGGAGGAGGAGTTGCAGTTGTAGCCTTCTGTGTAACAGAGATAATTATGACTGAGAAACCATAAAACAGCTTGCAGGTACACATTTTTACTTTTAAACCCCAGAACATCTAGCTGAAATTACATATACTGCATGTATTTTATTGTGAATGCTCTTTCAGCATCTGCACCGAGGCAAATTACAGAAAAATTGTTACATCTGTTTGCTCTAGAAGATCCTACAGGGAAACCATCTAGGCCACCCACCCAAAACATTTCTTTTAAGAAAGGGGAGAAACATTTTTTTCCAGACCTGAAGTCTTGTGTCTCAGTGTTGGAAAGGAGATAGCTCCTGGGCTTTCATGAGAAATAGATTTAGAACAAGAGCAAAAATGATACTTCACATTACTCCTTGAACTTACCTTTGTAGTGATGGATTTGATATGTTACCAGAAGACCTTGACTTACATACAATCCACAGTAAATTCACCTACGTAGCCTTCCTCAGTGAGAGAATTCAATGGAGCATTTGTAGGTAAACACAGTGCACAATCATTGGGTTAATCTAAGCAAAGAACCTGCAGAATGTTCTTTTGGAAGGTCAAATTAAAATTAAAACATGACAGAAAAAGGCTGGAAAATCCTAATTCATAGTACTCTCTCAGCCCACCTCTCTTCCCCTATGGGTTAGGCCTCTGTTTCCCAGTCTTTATGCCACAACTCAGTTTTCACAAAGCACTCTGAACCTCCCATTCCTGTAAGTCACCTCTTAGCAACTCAGAGAATCTCCTCCCTGGGTTGAGACAGACAGACAGACAGACACACACACACACACACACACACACACACACACACAGCCCTTAACTGCTTGCTGTTCAACTTCAGATCAAAAAAACACAGTCCAGAGAGTTGGGTGGAGGATGAAGAGAGCTTAGAGGACATATTCCTCCCTCTAGTCTAGAGGATCAAGATTTTACCTCTGAACTAATTTGGACTCCCCATGAGACTATGATATTGGACTACCCCAAATTTCTTCCACCCTACCCGGAGAGAAACAGCAACAGGGTTTAAAGCCCTGTGTGAAGATGCTATGAGAAAAGGCCACCTGAACCCCAAACAGCATGACTTCAAGGATGCCACTCCCCATTGTCACTCAGCACGCTCAAAGTGGAGACTCACATGACAAATTGTCATCAGACCAACACACTGAAGCATCAGACTAAAGTGCTGAGGTGTTGTGTGCTTTTGAAAATTATTACCAATGCTAATCATGTGACTAACTGCCTCTTCTCTTTGTTTTAGCCACTAAGAAGCTCAGAATTAAATTTGAGTAAAGCTATAATTACTACATTTTAATTTTACAGTTAGTCTCAATAGAAGCCTGGCAGCTCTCTCTCTCTCTCTCTCTCTCTCTCTCTCTTTCTGTAAGATCCCTTTTAGAATTTTGGAAGCTTCCACATGGAAGGCTGAGCGGCTGAGTCATTCTGTCCCTGACTTATTGGGCACATGGTGTCATTTTGCATAGATCTGCCCAAAGGCTGATGAGCCACTGGCTTGGGCTCCAAATTAGAAGAAAATTGGTTGCACCTGCAGCAAGTAGGCAGTCTTATGTACCCTGTGTCATAGACAGTCAGTGGCTAGTGTCTTCCCCAGGTGGAGGATGAGGGCAGAAGTTGAGGCAGCCTGTTCGGCTGAAGGAGGAGCTTGACCATTAGCCGCCTAGGAAATGGTGCATCTCTTTGATAAAAGGGATCTGGCTGGATACCAAGATCATCCATCACAATCTCATAAACATTTTCCAAGTAGCTTCATATTGCATTCATCTGGTCAATGATAGCAGACTTCTTTAATATTAGTAATGATATTTATTAAGTAATTGTTATTTTAGCCAGAAACTTTGCTAAGCACTTACTTACATTGTTTCACTTAATCCTTACAATTGTGAGCCATGTTCTATGAGCAAGGTTTACAATGAGGACAGTAAGCCTCAAGAGGSAAGGCACTGGTCACGACACCGCTTACAAGAAGCTAAACTGATTCCAAAGTAGGTAAGACTCCAGAGCCTTAATCTCTAAGTCTGCTAGTCAATAATGCTGTCCTGTGACAACATCACTGCATTACACTGCCTGGAACATAATCAAAATCTATTAATGTGCTCAACCACAATAGAAACAATTGTGTTTTTGCTATTTCTCTTGTAAAATTAAATCTCTATTATATCACAATGGGAAGTGGCTTTTACTCACAAAGAACTCTTCATAATTCCACATTTAGAAAACTATGGAAGAACTCAAGTATCTCAAAAATACGGAATTTTCATATTCTAATACCTCATGCAATTAATACTAGATCTTATGAAGAATAGCAATCCTTTGATCACATATAAATGTGCTTTAGGAAGTGTAATAGAAAATTTTCAAATCCATGGCTTCAAATACTACATCAGTGTGCCTCCAAAGATAATATCATCTCAAGTTAAACTTTAGTTCTTGTGAARAGGGTGCCTGAAATGAAATATCCTTGAATGAAATACAAAATTCTAAATTTCAATACATGCTCATAAAACACAAATGCATGCTCTTCAAACATAGTTTTACTTCCTGAGGGGCTAGATTATAAGACCAAAATTTGAAGTCAGAAAATAAAAATTGGTTACTGGAAATATAAACAGGACACATATATAATCTTTCTACCAGGTAGAGTATAAATATTAACTCCTATCAACTTCCTTCATATCATTAGTGATAGTATTGCATTTGCTATTTTAATGAATATGCATATATTCTATGGATGCCTTAATCTACATTTGTCACTTGCTGATAACCACCTCCCAAACCAACAACTCACAGAAAATTCCTTTCCCTCCCACTTCCTTCCCTTTGACCACGGACTATGAACTGCCACCCCTTACCCATTTATCACTTCATTCAGTTAGTCAATAATGGTGTCTGGTGATAGGGCATCACCCAAAAAGAGAAGTGCTGGAAGAGTTGGAGAGAAAGTGAAAAAGCAAAATAATAATAATAATAATAACTCAAAATTTCATTGTGTATCTACCACTCTTAAGCTGCTGGAAGAGTCTTAACAGTAAGTCACAGGGGAGGAGAGAAAAACTCCATTGTCTCTCAGGTTCCTCACTCCACCATCCTCATTCCTTTTAAGGTTCATTATCCTCTCTACACCTTTGCCACTTCTGGAATGCCACCATTATTTTTATCTTCCTAGTCCTCTATCCTTGACTCTCTTTCATTCCATGTACTCTGYCTCTGGAAACTCTTATCACAATTCCATCTCCCACCAGGCCCTGCTACACCTTTTCTCTAAGCCAAGGCCACTACCTATTGCAACCAGAAATGAATACTGCCTGTTTCTATCTCTGCTGCTCAGCACATGAAGGTACTCTGTATCCCATTGCCAGAGGAGACAGATGTCTTCTTTCAAAGGGACATTCTAAACCAAACTTCAGAGAGAAACATTCTGCATTCCTTAACCTTGGAACCTGAGTATCAAGGATGACATTTTTTTTTCTATCATTATTGCAAGTTTCACAAAAACTTACTCTTAAGCCTACTCTAGACATAAATCCTCCTTACTTTGGAGCCTCCCCTATGAGAAATCCAAGTCTCCTGGACCCCGCCCTGGTGTTCTCATCTCTTTGTGTACCTCACCAGAAAAAAAAAAAAAAAAAAAACTCAATTTATCACCCAACCTGACCATCCACTCTCTCACATGATATCTGGAACTCCTAATCTCACATTAGCCAAAGGTCTATACTCCTTAAACACTTCTCTGAATGTTTTTTTCTATTTCCTTTCTACTCAAAACCAGGCTATCTTCTGAGAGTACTGCTTTCCTAGCCTGTCTAGTGAGTGTTTGTTTCTTTCCCCCACATACTTCATATTATTGGAGCAGGTGGCTTCTCTCCTTCCTCTCCTTTGCCACTCCCACATATTGAAAATCCTATGCACTTTAAATGAGATCTTTAGATTATACCCTCTGCTGCCCCTTTATGTGGCAGCTATCCACTGCTTCCCTGGTAATGTCACCTCCTTCACTTAACTGTGCCACTTGTCCATCACCCATTTATGTCCTTATTTCCCTCCTTAYGGAGCCTAGATTCTCTGGCTCACCCCTACCTTCACTCTGTTGTCTGTATTTGCAGTCCTCACAGCTCTCTCTCTCCTTCCTCTTGCCTAGCAATCTTGATTCTGGTTAAACCCAACTCTCTTCCACCTCTTCCTTGCTCCTGAGCAGCTAAACCTGGAGGAGAAAACCACACAGCCACACTGGCTRCTCGTCAACCCTACTAAATATCTGTGATCAGTGCACTCAGCCACACACACACCCCCATGATTATTTCATGTCTTTTCTCTCCTTCAATGCCTCCTTTTCCAAAATCCTCACTGTCACTCTCAGTTGCTGGCCTTGCTTCTTAGTTTCAAGAACACAGAAGCATTTAGGAGATAAACTCTCTATTTTTGCTTGCTCAAGGACTTTCCAGTGTTTCTGAACTTAAAAAACAACCAAGCAACCTTCCCATGAATGCTGTATCTTCCAGCTATAATCTTTCGATTGCAAAAGTCCTAAGAAGCATTGCCCACCCTCTTACCTCTATTTTCCAACACCTAAGTGTCTCCTGACTAGTCCCCGCAGGGTTTTAGCCCCGTCGTTTCACTGAAGCAGCATATGTAAGGGCCATGCCACCTTCCATGTTGCCAAGTACTGTGGTACATTCTCAGTTGCCCACCCCCTGATTTTTAAAAGCTGTTTGACTTGGCTTTCAAAACACCATACTTTCCCTCTTATCTCTGATAATTCCTTTCCTTTGTTGTTTTTTTCTTTTTCTACTCCAGTGGTGATTATGAGGATCATTATCTTCCAATCCCATACCCTCTCTCTAAATGGTTACATCCAATTCCTTCTTCTGCAGTGGTCTCCCTACCAACTCTTCTGTACACAGCAGCCAGAGTGATGAATTAATCCATGTTGCTCACTTGCTCAGAGCTCTCCACTTCCTGTCGTTCTTGTAGCAAGATACAAAATCCTACTTTGGTCCACAAGCACAATGTATTCTAGACCTTGACACCTCTCTGATTTCTGCCCAGTCACTTCAGCATGTTCACTGTTTTGGAACTCATCACCAGCCAGAGATTTTATACTTGCCTGCCCCAATGCCTGTGAGGTTCATCCTGCTGATAAGTGCATAGCTTGCAGCACACACTGTAAGCAGGTGGCCTTCCTGTTTCAACTGGCCTCCCCTCCATCACTCCTTGCTTTATTATTCTTTATAACGTTCAACTCTACTTGATATTGTATAATGTGTTCATTAATTCATTTACAAGGATAGAGACCTTGCCTTTCTCGTATACCAATATATTTTCAGAGCCTAGAACACACAAGTCACTGAGTCATTTAGTAAGTGCTCAATATATATTTGTGCAATTAATAACTAGGTTATGTGTCCCTGCCTGTGTGAATGCATGCACACGCACATATTCTCTCTCTCTCTCTTTCTCTCTTCCCCCCCCCTCTCTCCACCCACCTCACCCACTCCCAATATGTATGCAAAATTAGATGTATTTTAATACCTTGGAGGCTTTTAGGTATTCTTAGGCTTCTTAGGCTCAACAGAGGGGATGAGCTGGTTAAGCATCTTGGGAACTCATGCTTCCCATTTCAGCACATGTACTTGTGTATATGACACAGCCACTGTGCTTCCCCCTAATGCACATGCAGAACTTGCATGACATGCATGATACAAAACTGATTTCCCAACTCAGGCTCTTACTGTAGTGATTGCTATTATTTCCACGAGGAGACAAAAGAACACCATACTATGGTTTGGGGGTCAATCAAAGAAGTTCTGTTAATGGGGGAAGCTAGGCATATGCTGGAAGAGAGAGATGGGAAATTCTGTGTGTTCCTCAATTTTGTTGTGAATTTGATTATTCAAAAAAAAATAAGATTTTAAATTTTTTTCAGGAAAAAAAGAAAAGAAATTAAAAAAAAAAAAACTCTAAAGATACTATACAAACCAGTCTCTGGAACTGATCATTTATAGATGATAGCTTTTTGTTTTTAAAATATAAAAGCATCAAAACACAAAATTTTTACCTTAACAGTGTGATAAAAGCAGTTTAGTAAACATACTTGGTTGATTTAGTTTTATCCTAAGTCATTCCAAAAATAATAGAAGGGAAATCGAAGAAAAAGGGACCATTTTGAGGAGGCACATGCATTCACGATGATTTCAAGTGCTGTTACATTGCCCCTCTACTAAATTCACCTGTCAAACCTGAGAACAGCAAGACCTCATTTAAAAACTACTAAATGTGCAAATCAACAAAGAAATCTAAGTTTTAAGTGTCTCAAATGTATTTTTACAGGAAAACATAGTACAAATTTTGTCAGCCGATATGATCCCCGATTCAATAGCTGGATTCAACTTCCACCCATGCAAGAAAGGTGAGTTCATTTCTTATGTCTGAAAATGTGTGACTGCTTCTCAGGAAGCATGGGTGCTAACCAGAGTTCATGTGGGAGATATTGGCAAAATACAAAACTTGGCCTAGCCAATTTAGATTACCTGCCTTGTTGACGCGACAGAGAAAAATAATTAAATCAATCAATTATTTAATGTAGGAAGAAAAAAAATTGTGACTTGTCTTCTTTTACTGTAATGATTGATATTTTGCAAACAGAGCTGTGTTTCTACTGGCCCTCTTCCTCTTCTTGGTGCTAATATATTTAAATCCTAAAACCAAAATATAAAACACCATTCCCATAATGATATGCATGTCAGTGCAGCAATTTCAATGTTAAACTATTCAATCTTAAATTTAATATTCAATATTAGAGCTTGACATTTAAATATTTGGTATTTAAATATTTATTTGAATTTAATTGTTCACTAGTAAATCCAAGTCTTCTTAACTCAGATAGTTTACCTTTGCCTCACCAAATGTCTTCAAGAACAGGTCATTTATTAGCTTAAAAAAATAGTCTTGCAAAGTGTCATTTAATTCTTTGACATAACAGAGTGTTTATCTCGTCCAAGTCTCCTAGCAACCAAAGGAAAAGATAGCTACTATATTTGCACATATTTTGTATCTCCTGGCTGTTATTCAGGCATAATACCATGTCTTTATATGCATATAAAAATTCACATGACAGATTTTGACACTTGGTTCTTTTAAAATAATATCTGGACATAGCCTCTTGAGCAAATTCTCCAAGATGAGAGTCACAATAAACTGCAACCTGTTTTGTCTCCTCCTTTGAGTTATTTAAGAAGTAATCAAAAGCATTGCTGCTCTTTCATATTTCCTGCATGACCCCTCTCCTCAACATCTCTTTTAACATTCGAGCACATKGCACTGAAATCAAATTCGACCCTTCATCATAAATTCCAAGTCAAAAGAAATTTTCAGAGACTACCATTTATTCAAAAATGTACATCACTGCAACATGACAGTATGAATCTATGCTCTAGAGAAACTCAACATCCATCTATGCCTTACAGACAGAGTAAGACTTTCAGGAGACTAGAAGCTATACACAAGACACATGCTAAAGATCACAGGCACTTTTAGGAATGTCTACTTCAGGGTTCCTCGAGAAATAATTCTAAGTCTATTAATATCCTGACAAACTTCATGAGCCAGAAGCTTCCTGGTGACTTTGTCCAGAGCACCTTGTCTCTCTCCTTGGAGAAGTTATTTCCCCTAGTTAGTGGTATTGTCGCTGCATCAACATGCCCTTTAATCAAAACCATTCCAAAAAAAAGTTTGATTTGAAAAATAACTGTCAATCCATGTTTGAAATGTGATCATCTCATCACCACGGTCCCCTTTGCTGGGGGCTGTACACCACAATAATTAACCTTCACGCCTTCGGCTTGGGAGGCATAACTCACGTCGCGGTCAATTATCTCGCTGTAGAGCCCCTAAGGAGGGGAAGTATTGCTGCAAAACCTAATTAGTAATTTTTTTTAAAATGTGTATTGTTTACTTGATAGTCTATAATGACTTCCTCTGAGGCACTATGGCCTATCATGGCAGGGTCCTACTTAGACAATTTTTAGCAGCTCATTGACCTGATAAAAAGACCTGCCATGGTCTGTCGGCGCCCGGCAGCCACCGTTGACAGGATGGACTGTTTAACGTTTCTTTCCAAGTCATTATGGTATATCATGTCAGGTCCCTAGTAAAAGAAGTTTTTTTTTAGATTTAGAACAATCAGCTCGATAGACCAAATAAAGAGCTCCTTACAGAGCTGAGTGGGAAAAGGCAGATCTCACAAATGCCCAGTCAATCTTCTAGCTCCATCTCTCCTATGGCTTGGTTGACCCAGGCAGCAATCCATAACTTCAAAGGAAATTTTCCTGTCATTGCCAGGCTCCCATTTCAAATAGCAGGAAACATCAGTGGACTAATTGGTGATTAAACGTTGAAGAAAAATAATCATAAGTATACGAGACACTCTTCAGATCAGAAAAGTCTATTGAAACATTTACTTGAGTTTATTTTATAATATGTAGATTATGAATCAAACCAGAAGTCTCTGCCACCTCTTTCATTATACTACCAAACTACTGAGAAATTGTTATGTTGAGAAATTACCAAACTGATTGAGAATAACAGAAACATGTTGTGAACCAACTCCAGGATACCTCATTCTTTCAGAGCTGGGTGGATAGATTACTAGGATATCTTGCCTAATCAGAGGTCCCAAAGCTTTGGTAATAAAACTGCTGAGTCTTCTCCCARTTCAGGAGGAATTGGGCACACAGCCTGCAGGCTGACTTCACCGTGGGCAGCTCATGCATCTCTTGCCTGCCAGTGTGAATTGACTGCCAAATCATCGGATGAAAAWATAAATTTAAATGTAATGCTGAGGAATTGTTTTGGTCTTAGATTTAGAATCTGATTCTGCAGTAAGAAGGAAAGGGCAAAATTGAAAATCTGGATCAACAGAAATGCTTTGATCACTTCAATTTTTTCAATGAAATAGACATTTTAAGTATTATTCTTATGGCATCTTACCCCCTAGCTAGTTTAAAAGATCAGAAAAAGAAAAACGYTGTTTGAAGAACAGAGCTTTTATTTCACAAAGGAAGTGAGAGGCCAGAAGTTAATACATCAAAAATGCTTCCAAASTTAAGTATTTTGCTTCTAAGATTCTTATAAGAAACCACAGGAGACAATATTCTGTTTGAAAAATCTGTTGTTTTTTTACCTGATGATGGACGTCAACAATTCAAGCTGAGATAAAGTTATAGTAATTCAGTCTCATGCTCTGGATATAAACTGACCATCCCAAAGGTCAGCAAGGACTCAGAAAGATATGTCAAATAAGCAGGGTTTAAAGTATCTTTGTAGAAGTTATTTGTTAGTCTTTCTATATGAATCTCAGAAACATTGAATATTTCTTTATGGCAGTGGGGACAAGGAGAAGAGAGAGACATAAGAAATAAACAATCTGAAATACAAATTGAGGGATGTCACTAAAAGAATCATTAATGACCTTGAACTTACTTTTCCACAATACAAACAAACAAAAAATAATCTAAATCAAGTGTGCTCTTCATATGGGATGGAGAGGAAGGAACATTCCTAAGAGAGATCTGGCCTGGTAAAATTTTAGGCTTAAGCAAATATTCACAGTAGTTGCTGATAGACCATTAACAGTCTATAATGTGTCTTAAGAATTCTCAMTTTGGGTATGCAAGAGAATAAGTCAAAGACAATTTTTCTAGTGGAATTTCAACATAAAATTGCACTTGAAGTTAGGAAGTGATATCTACTAATTCTTCCCCCTTTAGTTCCTAACAGTGACACTGTGTGGCTAGAGCTAGGAGTACTCAGGGATCATCACATTAAGAATGATTTGACTAAAAAAAGAACACATTCTGAAGGCTGACTCAGTGTCACAGCAGGGAAGGAACCAGGTCAGGAAAAAGGCAAGAAAATTAACATTTAGACTAGATAAAAGGAGTTTACCTTACCAAAGGGATCCTTCCCTTATTCTTCACCATCTAAATTCAATTAAATAGGGGGCTTTCACTTTTGTAATGACTGATTGGCATTTTGTTTTCCAGACCAGTACCACCTAAAATTCACCATTACCACCTTACAGCCCACCTGGTCCAAATTATTTAAAGATAGTCCACTGCTGAAATAAATAAATGTATTATTTCAGAAGTTCTAAATTCTGTCATTGGACCATGTGGAAGAAGTATACTGACCGACCCTGTGTTGATGGTGCAAAGAAATATGTCACTTTAGAAAAGACTATTTGAGACAGGTGYCATTCTTTTCAATAAAACATGTTAACTTGAAATGGCAAAAGCACTAGTAAAAGCGGGACACAGTRGCACATGCCCCTAATCCCAGGAGTTTGTGAGGCTGAGRCARGAGGATGGCAAGTTCAAAGCCAGCCTCAGCAAAAGCAAGATACTAAGCAACTCATTGAGACCCTGTCTCTAAAAAATACAGAATAGGGCTGGGGATGTGGCTAAGTGGTCAAGTACCACTGAGTTCATGCCCCAGTACCAAAAAAAAAAAAAAAAACCTAGTAAAATTACTTTGACCTATCTTATTTGATGAGAGAACCAATCGAGTTAGAGAAATGAAAGAAATAAATGGTCCATCTGAATGCACTTGATTTTGCAACTGTTTTTAAACCTAATTTTATATTTAGATGAGTTTCTACTCCTGTATGCCAGGAAATCCCAATTGTTTTTAGAAMTCCCTTTGATTATCTGATTAAAAGCTATGAAATGTCTTCCTCCAATAAAATTGCACATATGCAAAAAAWATATATATATATATTTTAAATTTCAGTTTTATGTGTGTATATATGTATACATATATTTATTATTATTATTATTAAAATTTTCAGTTTTCTTGACCCCTCAGAAGACAAAGACCCATGTTAACAACTCTTAATTTATGAAATCTTTATTTCCATTCCTACTTTTCTCCCTTCTCCTTCTACCATTATTGTTATTTATCATACTCYTGAATTTTTCATACCACATATTTCTTTCAGAAAATAAACACAGTAAAAATATGACTCTAAAATTATCAATAATAGCTATCAAGATCATTTCAGAACTATCAATTTTTTTAAAAAACTAAATAAATCACCATCTATCATAAATAGTATACCTACATGGCAATAAAATATCTAACCAAACATTAAGGACTTTAATCCTCAGTTAAATATTTGTAAAACCTTTTTATCCAGGTAATATTAATTGGCAGTTCCTGAGAATAGACAAAATGCAGGATACTATGACAGGCACTTAGACATATTTGCAAATATCYTGCGTAGAAGGAACCATATCATCCCCATGTTGCTGATGAGCAATTTGAGGCTGAGAGAGGTTCAGTAACAACATGTTGAAGGTCACAAACCTAGTGAATCACGGAGCCAGGTGTTCTCACTTCAGAAATCAAATTGTTAATCAGGATGCATTATACTGCTGCCCAGATGTGTTAGCACTTCATRAACACAAGCTGGAAAATCTCCAAAGAATGTAGGTTTATCCTATGAAAATCCTGAGCATTCCCCATCATGCAATGAGCACTGCACAGAATCTTGGGATTGATTGTTATGGAAACCAGTAAGTTATGCAATGTAACTTAAGTTCTCCAAGGAGCTCGGCACTTAGCAATTACACTTACTCAATTCTGGACCACATGTTATCCTTGTGAAATATACTATTCCTATAGCATCCTAAAAAAAAAAGCAAAAGGGTCATGGACATGGCCKGGTACAGTGGCGCACACCTGTAATCTCAGCAGCTCAGGAGGCTGAGGCAGGAGAATTGTGAGTTCAAAGCCAGCCTCAGCAAAAGAAGTAAGGTGCTAAGCAACTCAGTGAGACCCTGTGTCTAAATAAAATACAAAATAGGGCTGGGATGTTGCTCAGTTGTTGAGTGCCCCTGAGTTCAATCCCCAGTACCCACCCATCCCACCCCACAAAAAAAATGAAAGAAAAGATCATGGGCATGCTTAAAGTTTCATCCTAGTCATCCTAATTCTTTATTTTTGAGTCCTCTTTGAACCTTTACTCTCCTTCACCTCTTATATTTTATTAGTCATGAGTCTTGTGTCATCTTCCTTGGACATACCCTGTGTTTCACTCTTTCTCATTTCTTCCATTAAGATTCTAATTCAGGTCTCACTCCTAAATTATGGCCTACCTCAGAACTGGCCACCTGGTCTCCGATCCTTTGGACATAGCTTTCATCTCTTGCCTTGGATGGTATTGCAAGAAAATATCATTGATAGCCTCTCTTTGAAAGAGACTGAAGCAGTATCTGAGAGAATCAATACCAAAAGCTACTTAGATGAACTTTCTATAATTGGTTATAGAAGAGCAAATTTTGAACATTATATGAAGTTCAAAAAAGTTATTCTATTTTCAGTAGTACTAGGAGGGGGAAAAAAGAAAAAATGATAATTGAAGAAAATTTTTGATGATGTAGTTCTCTTATAAATTGGGAACAATGACCCTTGAAGGACCATAAAGAAAGTGAATGTCAAGATAATTTATTATTGCTACATTATCTACCTCATTTTTCACTTTGTCTTACTGAGCTGTGATATCTGTACAAGGTACCAAATATCCCAAACATTAATGAACAGTTTAACAGTGTATAAAAAGCAAGATATAAAGAAGAAAGAGTTGGTGAATTTCTCCTCTACTGTTGCTTTGACATCAAGAATGTTCACCAGACTGGGCAGTGCATATGATTACTTCATCCAGTCACAGATTTAGAAGGTGGAAGTGTAATGTTTACAGGTTTGCAGATGTTTCTGAAGCATGATGTACCTCCTTCCCCTGAGTGGTCCTCACCCTATCTCAAAGGTAACAATTCACTGTTCTTTTTTGATTTACGGTGCATTCTTATTTTCACTGCAGAAGAGCCAGTTTCTATGCATGTCGGTTAGACAAACATTTGTATGTTATTGGTGGAAGAAATGAAACCGGCTACTTGTCCAGTGTGGAGTGCTATAACCTGGACACAAATGAATGGCGTTATGTGTCCTCTTTGCCACAGCCTCTGGCAGCTCATGCAGGAGCAGTGCACAATGGGAAAATCTACATTTCAGGCAAGTCACCACTCCTCTTTCTGTAATGAAGTTCAGTTCAAAGACACTTCCCTGACTTGTATGTATACGTTTAATTCACAGGAGGTGTACACAATGGAGAATATGTCCCCTGGCTATATTGCTATGACCCCGTAATGGACGTCTGGGCTCGAAAACAAGATATGAACACAAAGCGCGCCATCCACACTTTGGCTGTAATGAATGATCGCCTGTATGCAATTGGAGGAAATCATTTGAAAGGTCTTTTTTTTTTTCTTTTTCTTAATCACAATAACATTTGCAACTCATGTTTCTTGCTAAGGGGGTTTCTCGTTAGATAATCATAGCTAACCAAGTAAAAAACATGTTGACCAAAGAAAAATACTCTGTGTAAATTAGCAGTACCCTTGARCAAGCACTTATTCTGGCTTTTCTGCAGATAGGATTATTTTTAAGTTACCATACACATTAAAGAAATGAGTAATGGTGTCTACAGAAAATAAATAAGGGGAGCATTAATAACTGAAAAGCACAAACGATTTGTCATAACAGCAAATCCAGTGAAATAAATTATCCCTTATCACCAAAGTGTAGTAATGAATTTTTTCCCAGAAAATTGTTTTTTGCAGCAATCATAAAGAACTTTAGTCATAGCTGCACAAAGCTAATAYGTGATTTTTGTCTTTAAACATTTAGTAGAATTTCATGTCTAAATTTAGAACTATTTATTTTAAGTATTGAATATCAAACCATCTATGATTCTCAAGTTCAGTTGCTTTTTTTAATTAAAAAAATCCTAAAACAGTATTTTTAGAACCATGTTTTTGGCTTCTTTTCTCCCTCAGATTCATATGTAACTTCAAATTTTTGTAGTTCATATGCATATGTATAACTTTATATGTGTGCATATAACACTGAATTTGACCCCAAAGCAGAGAGATCTGTGATGTTTATAATGTTCCTGACCTACCTACTTTGTACCTCACTTTCCTCATCTGAAAAATGAAGAAATTGGTCTAATTGARCTCTAAAATCACCTCCAGTTCTGACATTCCAGAATCCTTGAAATGGAACTCAATGGGAAATGGGTTATAATACTTGAGGAATATCTATGTATTTATTTTACAAAAATATATGCATCCAAACCAGGCATAGTGACACACACCTATAATCCCAGCGAGACAGCAGGATTGCAAATTTGAGGCTAGCCTCAGAAATATAGTGAGGCTCTAAGAAACTTAGCAAGACCCTGTCTCAAAATAAAGGACTGGGGATGTGATTCAGTGGTTAAGCATCCCTGGATTAAATTCCTGGTGCATGTGTGTGTGTGTGTGTGTGTGTGTGTGTGTGCATACATCTTAAAAATAGATTAGAAATATATATTTTTCTGTTTTCCCTCCTACATATTTACCTCTAAATATATTTTTAAAATTGCACAAGTGTAATTTTCATGTAGCTATTCCCAAGTTCATGTTCAGTTAGAAATGCCAACACCCTAATGTCTGCCTGCTGTTGATCTTAATACTCTTCCCAATGGGAGAGGATTCTGCTCACTACTGCATCTCTATGTTGTTTATCCTTATTACTTTTGCTGGTGTTCCTTCATTTCAATCCATACTTCATTCTCTAACCTCAATKTTTCATGTTACCTTTGTAGCTTTCTACACTGAAATGTATTCCTTCTAAATTCTTTTGCATAAGATATCGCCTAAATGTTTTAGAGGCTTTTGGCAGTCGAGCTTATATCTGGACAGAAAGACTGGCTAATGACAACCTAAGTGAGCAGCAGCACAAACACATGTCAAAAGTAGGTTAGCTCAGGGATGTCCTGGCAAGGACAGGGTGGACTTTGCTTATAAAACTAGGTTTGAGTCCTGGTTGTGCGCTAACTTAGACAAGACACACTTAGCCTCATATCTGTAAAAAAGGGACAAGTATCTATCTATCTATACACACACACACACACACACAAACACACACACATACATACACATATAATCAAGGAGAGGGAAATTATTTTTCTTCTATAGATGTATGTGTGTGTATATATATATATATATATACGTATGTACAAGTGTGTATATTTATGTATATACTTGGCACAGGAAAGGGACACATATCTTTAAACGATGCCTCTAGAACTTTAGAATCTGAAGTTTTCCCAAGTGCTCATTCTAAGTGTACACGCTCAAAAATTTCAGGGAGTGCATTACTCTTTTATACCAACATCAGTGTGATTTATTTTATATAAAAAGCTAGTGGCTTGAAATAACCTGTCTACCTCTTCAAGAATGAAAAGCATTCCTTTTGATTTGTTTTCTCAGTTATTTTGAAGAATCCAGTAGGTTAGTTAATTTAATAGATGCAGTGTGTCAGCTTGCAAATACTTGTAGCATGCATTGACTAGAGAAAAAAATTATTTGATCTACCAAGTGACCATATATCTCCCCTAAGTTAAAGGCAGGGCTCCAGGAGATATAGGAACTTACATTGTCCTTGGCAACCTGGTTACTGCCCTCACCATTAGGAATCCTTATCAGAAGTGGAGGAGAATCTTACCAATACAGGGTGCTCGGACGTGCTCTAAACCTTGATCCGTGGGAGATGTTAGAAGCCATTCACATTAGAGCTATTTATCAACACAGTCAAACTATTTTTTTTTAAAAAAGGTAAAAGATGCATTTTTACAGCGTATTTTTAACAAATGAAAATATTTTGAGAGAGTTCAAATCTATTTAAGATAAGCAATATAGTACATTCCAAAAGAATATGAGCTCTGAAGCCCATTCACCTTTCAAATATCACCCTATCTATTCACTGGCTTGTGACTCACTAAGTCACTGACTTTCTATGTCTCTCCATTCCTTTATTTGTTAAATGAAAATAATGATAGTGGCTATCTCATAGAATGGAGGGTATAAAGTTATTTCATTTAGAAAACAAAACTATTATAAGCACTTTATGAAAATGCTTGCTTCAACTATTTTCTTATACCTTTTAAAATATGGGTTTTTTAAGTTTTTATTTGTTTTAATTAGGTATACATGACAGTAGTATGCACTTATATACTTGTATATATCATACATAGATGGGATATAATTTCTCGCTTTTCTGAGTATACATATTGTAGAATCACATTGGTCATACAATCACATACATAATGTAATAATGTCTGTTTCATTCTACTATCTTTCTTATACCCACATCCCCTGCCCTCCCCTCCTTTCACTTCCCTCTACCTAATCTAAGGTAACACTATTCTTTTTTTTTTTTGCCTTTATACATGTACTTTGTTGGTTTTTTTTTTTTTTGCATTACAATTCTTAATACACACATACTCCACAATTTTTGTATCTCTGTTTGTATATAAAGTATGTTGACACCAAATTCAAGTCTTCATACTTGTACTTAATAAACATTTTATTAATGTCTACCTGTACGTAATCCACCTTTATTAACGACCTCTGCTCTGGCATTCTTGCTTTAATTACCCAGAGTTTGTTTGGGATATTTTAGATCTTTCTGGCATGTCTCCCAAGTTCACCAATGAACTGCTACATTTGTGTCTTCAAAGACACACTTATCTACTTCTTGACTCTAGACCTTTTTTTTTTTTTTAAAGAAGTCCTAAACTTACATGGGGCCCCTGAGAGTTTATTCTTCTGTCGTTCCATTTTTACTATGTCACTTAGGTTTCTCCCATCTTGATGTAATGCTTGTGGAATGCTATGACCCAAAAGGAGACCAGTGGAACATTCTCCAAACTCCCATTTTGGAGGGTCGAAGTGGTCCTGGCTGTGCTGTGCTTGACGACAGCATTTACCTTGTGGGAGGCTACAGCTGGAGTATGGTATGTGTCCTTCTCTTTTCTTTTTGTGTTCACTTTGTCTGTTTCCCTTCAGATGTGTCATCGTCCATACATGTATCTTTTTAAGAACATCATGTTGATGTGCAAGCAGTAAGTTACTCTAAGTAGTTAGAATTAGCATAGATACTGTGGAATTGGCTTGCTATTTAATCAACTGCTTCATGACCTGTGCTAGGTTTCTGGTTCTCTTCTATCCCCATGTTTTTGKGATTCTGGTTGTCCACCAAGGGTCAAAATGAAGCAATTTTATAAATGTTCTGCTGAAATGAATATGAGAGTTCCTGACCAGTGAGGCATGAAAATTAATTTTTTAATATTCATCTATTAGGAGGGGTAGTTTGCTTTTCACTTTCYCCTCTATATCATGAAAATTTCCAAACATACACAAAAATTGAAATTATGATGGACTGCCACTAACTTTTTATCCAGCATCAAAAATAATTAACATTTTTCCATACTTGCTTCAGTGATCCCCCTTTTTACGAATTTTGCCTGAAGAAATTTGAAGCAAGCTAGTCATGCCTTGTAATCCCAGTGACTCAGGAAGCTGAGRCAGGAGGATCACAAGTTCAAGGCCAGCCTCAGCAACGTATCGAGATCCTATCTCAAAAACAAACACAAAAAAGCAAAATTTTGAAGCAAATCTTAGACATATTGTTTTACCCTAAATACCTCAGTTCTAATTTTTTAAATGTTTTTTWAAWTTWWTTTWWTTWWTT